TGGAGTCAATATTGTGTTGTAAAGGTGGTCATGCAAAGGTATCCTAAGGTAAACTCACCTATTACCGCCCTAGTTAAGGGAGTACTGTATGTTTTCAAGGTTATTAACGTCCCTTACTATTTCAAACAATTTGAAACATTATATACCTATTAGTACTTGCGAATACTTACTTTTATCTTTGTTATTGAATTAATTGTAGAATGTATATGGTGGTGAAAAGCTTGAAGGCGTTTGGTATTTCGAAATTATCTTGACTTGTACCTTGCACAAAATCACAAACGGGTTTGCCACGCCACTAGCCCACAGCGCGCTGGGTAAAATCATAAAGTGCAAATTTCATTGTATAGCATCTGGCAATGCCCACGGCAAAGACCCCCAACCCCTGTCCCCCACAAACTAACAAGTCGAACGTCGTGACTCATCGCATCGTTGTCAACAACAATTTGTTACGCAATATTGCGTTACTGCAAAGACGTTTTAGAATAGTTCATAAAATCAAAATAAGACTTTTGAGTAACGTTTAATAATCAACGTAAATCATACAGAAAAGTGTAACTACCTATAGATGTAACAAAAATATAGGAGTTTATCTATTTCTGATTTAACTTCCGCCTGAAGTAATACAACGTTTTTATATGAGGTTACATTAGAGTATTATACTAACGTTAATTGCACGTAATAGAATTGTACACCTTATACGTCCTTATCTAACTTCCCATCGAAATCCACCTTACGTCTAAATACGACGTTACGTTATAGTAGAAAGATTAACGTTTAGACCACGTTCAGTTTTTAAACGTAATCATACAGAAAAATTGTAACTTAGTATAGAAGTGACAGAAGTTGTTATTTTTTTTCGGATTAAACGTTCGTCTAAAGTAAATGTTACGTGAGAATAGGAAGTTCCACTACGGCATTCTATTAACGTTTAATTGCCGTTTCGTTACTTTCAATGTTTAGTGGGGTAGAACGGCTTAGGCTTGTAGCTTCAGGAGCACGAATAGAAAGGGTGCGATTTCTGCGCATGAAACCAAACAAACATTCTTTTCCAGCTTCTTTCTTTTCTTCCCACTGACGAGGTAACTGAAGTTTCAATGCGATAGCATACTGATAAGCAAGTCTCTTCACCTGTTTAGTGCTGAGACCATAGTGCATTTTTGATGCGGTTTTTAAATATTGACAAATCATTTCTTCTTGTTGAGTGCTGAACACTTGCTTAACAGCGATATTGGGGTTGTACTTAAATTCAACAATGTTATGTACATGTTGTGATGCACTTACGTGACGTGCTAGTGACGATTTTGAAATATTGAACGAAATTGCTACTCGTCTTATGGAACTGCCTTTCCTAACTTCTTCTAATGCATTTCGCAATTGTTGTTCAGTAATGCGTTCTCTGTTTGTTTTACGCGCCCAAATTCTACCCATTATGGGGACTACAAAAAAAAATCATTTGTACAAACCTACATTAGAGTGGCAGGTAGAATGGGACTGTCCCATTCCTACTGAGTTGAGGTTGTCCCATTCCTCCTGCATAAGGTGTTAAAAAATTTAAATTTCCCACAATTTTATTAGAGGAATTTGCGGTTAGGAAACCTATATGCATATACAAAGAACACAACAAGCATCCCTATGAAAATAAATAAGAACTTAATAACCACACATATACGCCAAAATCATGTTTATATGTTGAGCATCAATACTTACTTTTTGATGGAAAAAAATACACAATTAACTTTTTTAGCTCGAAATAGCAGCAACAAAAATGAAAGTAGCTATACACAAAACGCACTACTACAGCCACCTATTACCACACGCGGGAACATTTAGTAGTGCAGAGAGCGGTAGAAAGAATGTATGTCCCATTCCACCTGCCTCCCCATTCGTACCCTTTTTTTTTTTTTTATAGAGGTTTGGGAAATCCTTTATGGACTACCCCCGCTTGCGGTCATAGCGGGGGGGCGTGCGGGACTCCCTTCCATCTAGGTAAGGTTTACCCGCTAAAACCCTTTCCTCTGCCAAGTGTGACATGGCCGGGTATCACCTCCCGGTATTCTTCTGCAGCCATGTCCGCCCGGCGCACCTATCGTGCGCCTGGATGTTACCGCACCCTCCTCTCTCTTGCCCTGGCTTCTCTTTCCCTTATGCCTCCGATCTTTTCTATCAAGGCCCCTATCGCACGCCACTTCCTGTCTTCGCTAATCATTTGCCCAACGATGCTCTCCGCCACGAGGCGAGCTCCTATCTCACTCTCTAGTATGATCCTTTCGCTCTCCCATCGCGCACACTCCATCACCGCATGCCCCGGAGGGTCCTCCTCTCCACAATCTGCACATTTATTGTCTTGCCTCTTCTTGATTTTCTGAAGATATTGTCCGTTTTCACCATGCCCTGTCAGAAACTGGGTCAGATAGTATCCAACTTCTCCATGTCCCCTTTCGCACCACTCGCGCACTCCCCGCACTAGTGTCCTAGTCCAGGAGTTCCTCACTTCCCACCTCCTCTGCCATTCCAGATATACCCTGTCCTTTGGCCACTTTTTTGCCCTTGCTTCAATAGCCACTTCCGCCGGGCAGATCCCCGCCACAACCAGCACATCGTCTAATTGAACTGTCCTGTACGCGCTACATATACGAATTGCCAGCAGCCGAATGACTTTGTTCGCCGCCGCCATTGCCACTCCCCATTTCGTGGCCGGCAACCACACCTCTGCCGCGTATAAAAGACTCGACAGCGCCGCGTACGCAATCACCTTTCGCTTACTTGCCCTTGCTCCTCCAGTGTTTGGCATAATTTTGCTGAGCGCCCCATACACTCTCATAGCCTTTGCGCTCGCCTCTTGTGCGTGGGGGATGAACGACAGATTTTTGTCGACCCACACCCCCAGCACTTTTATCTTGCCTTCCGAAAGAATCGTTTGTCCCAAGGCTTCAAGTCGTACCACCGCAATTCTTCTTTTCCCCGTGAGCAGAGCCAGTTTCGTTTTCCGTGGCACCAGCTCCAGACCTCTTCCTTCCATCCACTTTCCCACATTCTCGATTGCCGTAACCATTTTCCTCTTCGCCCTTTCTAGTTCCCTATCACGCACTATCAAAGTTATGTCGTCCGCAAAGGCCACCGTAACCACCCCGCTTTCACCTGTTAGGCGCAAAACCCCATCGTACATCACATTCCAGAGCAGGGGTCCCAGAACCGACCCCTGCGGCACTCCCGCACTATTTATGAATGTGTACGATGCACCCGACGGCATACTCGCGCTCACTTTCCTACCCGTGAGGTAACTACGCACCAAGCGCACTAGCTTCCAGGGCACTCCAAACTCCCGCAACTCACTCACGATCGCCTCCCGCGAAGCCGAGTTGAATGCATTTCTGACATCCAACGATGCCACGAGGCACACTTCTCTCCTTCTCCAGGTCCCCTGGTTGGCTCCTTCCACTTGTTCAACTATCTCCTTGAGGGCCTCCACGGTTGATCTCCCTTTTCTAAAACCGTACTGTGCCCCGCTAAGTCTAGGCTCGACCACCGCCTCCAGCCTCTTCTTAATGACCTTCTCCGCCACCTTCCCGGCGAAATCCGTGAGACAAATCGGTCGGTGTCCGCCGCCGCTTTTAGGTATTAGTACCAGTCGGCTATCTTTCCATCTGCTAGGGTAATTACCAGTTTCAATCGCCCGGTTAATAGCTGCAACCCAGGCCTCCGGAATCGTAGTAGCAGCCGCCTTCACTACACTAGCAGGCACCCCATCAGGCCCAGGGGCTTTCTCATTTGGAAGGGTCTTGGCTACCTCAACCACTTCCGCCTCCACCACCTCCTGTATACTTTCCTCCGGGTCACCCGCCTCCTCGCCTGGCCCTAGCTCCGGGTGGGCGGGAAACAAGCCCTTTACCGTTTCCAAAAACGCCTCATCTGTCCATCCTACCTCCTTAACTTTTCTACCGATCTTCCCCGTCACAATCTGGTACCCTTTTCCCCAAACATCAATATCAAGCTCGTCACACAGCTGTTTCCAACAGCGCCGCTTACTATCCTTGATCATGTCACGCAGCACTCTGCGCTCCCCTTTCCAGACTTCCTTTTCCTGCTCCGACACCCTCCCTGCTCGCAGCCCTCTTTGGTGTATCCTTCTGGCCACATTGCATTTTTTGCGCTGGAGAGCGATCTCCTGCGTCCACCAGTAGACCGCCCTCTTCTTCCCCAACCGTCGCCTTGTCGTCACTTCTTTGCAGACCTCCTGGAGCAGTTCGTCGATCGTATCAGCTTCCCACCTCGACCTTTCAGTAGCTTTCATCTCTAACAGTTTTGTCGTAAGCATCTCTTTGTTAATCTTCCTCGAGTTCCATGGACTGTAAGGGTCGGCCCGTTGCCCCTGTTCTACTGTCGCCTTGGGACTTCCCCAGCTCCAAACTATATAGTTATGATCGCTGAAGGAGTCTATTTCCAGCACTTTCCACCCCGTCACCAACTGTTTAACTTCATCTGCCACCACCACAATGTCTATTATGGTCCCGCTGCCCCTCCCCTGAAACGTGGGCAGGGTTCCTTCATTTACGCAGACCATCGCCAAAGCCGCGACCCATTCCTCCACAACCTCCCCCCTTCTATTGGTGTGCGGCGCCCCCCATATAGGGGATGCCGCATTTACATCCCCCGCAACGATCGCTTTTGCACGACCGTTCTCCCTAACTGCTTCACCTAAGCCGTCTAACCTCCATTCCAACTGCACTAAAGTGTCATTTGGCGGTAGATATACACTATATACGAAAACATTTTCTAACAACACCCACACAAATCCAACCCCTTGTCCAACCTTGTCCACAATAAGCCTGTCCCCCGTCACCATTATACCCACCGACCCAGTCAAATCCTTAAACACTTGCACTCCCCTCGTGTCCGGGCCTACCTCCGAAAGCACAAGCACTTCCGCTCCCACTTCCCCAGCCACTCTCACCGCCATATCCAGGGCCACCCTGCTGTTGTTGAGATTAATTTGCAGCGTTCTAAACACCATCTTGGTTGGGTTTATCTATTTCCTCCTCCTGGTTTTGGACTACCTCTTCCTCAGTTCGTGCACCGGCTTGCTCGTCCTCCGGTGCCCAATATGGGTCGTCTCTGGCTTGGCTCCGGGACACCTCTTCCTCCTCCTGTTGGGCTATTTCTTGCTCTTTCGCTTTTTTCCTGTTTTCGTACTCGCACCGTCTGGTGAAGGCTCTGTGTCCTTTACCGAGACCTTGCTCGAGCCCCTCACAACGCCTGCACGTTGGCTCTTCCTTGCAATCCCTGGCCTGGTGTCCGGATTTGCCACAGTTGAAGCACAGGGCGCTCCTGTCGACCCCCGTGCACCTGGCCGCGGTGTGTCCAACCTCCCAGCAGCGAATACACCTCACGAGCTCCGCGCTCAGCCGCACCCGGCAGGACGTCAAACCCACCCGGAGATACCCCTTCTTGGCGATGGAGTCAGCAGCATCTCGATTAACCTGCACGTATGCCACCTGTTGCCCACGGTCAACTGGCACCATCTGTTTAAACCTGCATCTTGCTTCTGGCGACGTCGCCCGCATTATGGCCTCAAGCACCTCCTCGCGGGTGGTTACTGCGCCCAGATCTCTGATGCATAGAGTGCAGTACTCTTCCAGCATCGTCACCTCCCTATCGCTTATCGCAGCACGGATCTTGCAGAGCACCGGGTTCGCTTTGCCGGCACCCTTCTCCACCCTCAGGAGAATATCTCCTGTCCTCGTCTTCTGGATACCCCATTCGTACCCACTCTCCCCTATTACACTTTCAACAAAGAATTCTATTTTGTTTAAACATTGGAAATTATATGAATAGAACTTTTTTAAAATAATCAAAATTTAGACCAGGGCATCCAATGTTTATTTAATTTTTTTGACAAAATACACAATGCAAGAAAGTGTAAAAAAAACCAATGGCATGTAAACATTGACAGCACAATACTTACAAATAACATCATTAAGCTTTAATTTAGAGAAAGCCTTTTTTGTGTGGTCTGTTTTGTTCTGTCCGCAATAATTGTAGAGGCATCCGACTTCATCAGATATCAGACTTCTTAAAATCGTATTTGTTTTAGGGACTAGCTCTTTTCCTCCAGCAAGTGTACAACAGTAAGATTTCTGAAAATATAACGCAAAAAATAAGTATGAATCTTTGAACAAACAAACTGTACTACAGCTTTTTATGTATATATTTAGAAATGTTAGTTATTAAATACACTTTACACTACAGATGAAGTTTTTACAATTATTTAATCTCATTATAACGATCAATCGAAAAAACAAACTTCAATCTGTTCACTACTAGACCATTGAATAAAAAATGTTTATCCCATGTCTAGACCCAGAACAATAAAAATGTCAGTAACTTACAAATGAATTGAGATGAACTTGGCCGTCGCTCAAATAGGTCTCTATTTCGTTAATGCCCTCTTGCGTTTTAATAGGCAGAGAAACAGGTAATACAAATTCATCAGAAGTTGCAGCAGGTGCTGTTTTGTGAGTGGATTGATTACATTGTAGTCAATAAATATCGACTGGTCGCAGAAAGTGTGTTTCCTTCGGACTCCAAGCGAGTCCGAGCAAGGGGAATAAATCCCATAATATTACATGGCGACCGTGACAGTGTTTTTGTAAGGAATGCTGGCACCGTAAAAATGTGCGGCTCAAAATACTCCAAAAATCGCGAGGATGTCGTTATCCAGACGGCTGGTGTAGGGACTAACACCGCGATTAAGGAAACAGAAAAAGAATTGGCGACGACTGAATGGCTGTTGATTGCAATGCTGGTGTTAGTAGCTGTCGGTATCATATATTTCTTGTTGAAAAAATTACAAAAGAGCATATTACGAACAGTTCGTAATGAAATACAAATGCACGAACTAAATGTATCAAGAAATAATATCGACGGTAACTAGCGTGCAGACCCCAAAATTTTTTTTTTCATCTGGACCCAGGACAGGATTTCGGCAAGAAGCAGCACCGCCCCGGGTATAGCAACTTAGGTGAAGTGTCGTGATAAAGGTCATAATGGTAAATTTAGTGATGTGTGGAGTGAATATTAGGGAGTTTGATGGAAATTACACTTAGTAACTTAAACGACAATATTAGAACTTTTAGGGACAATTTAAAAAAGGACAATGCAGCACGACGCCAAGATGCGGCGCTGACGGAACGTAAGTTGAAAGAATTACATAAATTTAGGCAAAATTATGAATCTGTAGTAAAGGACGTGCATATTGCTGTAAAAAACAAAGAAATTTTAGCGGAAAGCATAGGTTTAATTAATAATGTTGTTGCCCGCATTAAATTTAAATTAGAGGAGTGTCTCAGTATTTTACAAGCACGCACCATTACTAGCGATTCAAATCTAGAAAATAAGGAACAACAAAAATTAGACGATAAGGTAGGGGTGAGTACTAGCGTTAGCGATAAGAATTTAGCAATAAATAATTCTGACGAAATGGCGGACAAATTTGATTTCAAAATTGCTGTAAATTTACTACCAAAGCTGACGGACGATATCGAATCTATATACCAATTAATCGAAGGTATCGAGTTGTACGAAGCAGGTTTAAATGCAGAAGGTAAAATTGCATTAATTAATTATGTACTAAAGGCTTGTGTGCAACGTCGTGAAAGAATTCGTTTGCGACAAACGTACACCACAATAGACCTTCTAATTGCCGATCTAAAAAAATATTTTGTTCCCAAACAAACGTCAGGGATTCTCGCGAATAGGCTACAGACCATTAAACAAGGGAATTTGAGTATAGAAAAATTTGGTAAATCCGTAGAGTCCTTGATGTCAGATTTAACGTTAGCGCAGGCAGAAGATCAGCCAAACTCTTTGGAAACGTTTAAAAACGAAAACGAAAAAATCGCTGTTGATGTTTTTAGTCGAGGTTTGAAAAATTCGCAGACCCGTACAATTTTACAGGCACGCCAGTATAAAACTTTACGTGAAGCGATTGTAGGTGCCACGGAATTTATCCCGCATGAATCCGAAAATTCATTATTTAGTATGCGCGGTTCTCAATATAACTATTCTAGAGGTAGGAATAGGGGTAGAAATAATTATTATCGTTCCAATTACAGAGGCAATCGAGGATTTAACTATAACCAAAATCGTGCGCGCGGTACCTTTACTTATAATAGGCCAGGGGACGCTCAGCGAAATAATACTGGCTGGCGTGGTAGATCTCGGCAAAATTACAATAGAGGTTACGTAGGTAGATCGCATGGTCAAAACTTCCAAAACAGAATGTACTTTGCGGAGGAACATCAAAATCAGAGGCAACAGGATAACAACGAAGCTTCGGATCCTACACAATTTTTTCGAGGCCAATTTCAAGTTTTAATACTAGTAATTTAAATTATATTGAATTAGAATACGGACAGGATAAGATAAAATTACTTTTAGATAGTGGCGCTTCTATGAGCGTTATTTTTGAGGATAGCGTAATTCAAAATTTACAACACATTAATTACGACAATAAGATTGAGATTTGTGGCGTCAGCGGAAAAGTAACATCTTTAGGATCAACTGAGTTACACCTAAGCGCAAATAACACGGAGTTTACTCATTCATTCATAATTTTAAAATCCTTTACAGAGGACGAAAATGGTGTGTTAGGTTCAGATTTTTTCGAAGAGACGGCAGGAGTTATTGATTACGAAAAGTTTGAATTTTCATTTTATGTTAATAATGCAAAAATTTCATTACCAATGCACTCGACATATCAAAATAATATTACTATTCCACCACGATGCCAGATCATAAAAAATTTTCCCTTAAATGCAAATTCCGAGGTAGTTGTACTTCCGGAAGAGGTGGCCAATGGCACGTACGTAGCCGGTGCAGTCACTTCAGCATGTCAGCAAAATACCTTTCCGGTATTGTTTCTCAACATTACGGAACGTCCTGTAATACTGAAGAATTTTCAACCAAAAATAGTCGACGTTAGCGAGTATAATATCATTTCCTTTGGAGAAACTGAACACAAATCGGTTAATCGAGTTGATGAACTCTTGAAATCCATTAATATACAACATCTGCCAAAATATGAACAGGAATTAATTTGTAGAATATGTGCGAAATATTGCGATGTTTTTCATTTACCCGGTGATCATTTAACTGTTACAAATATTTTGAAGCATGAACTTATACTAAATAAAGATGCGACACCGAGTTATTCCAAACCTTACCGAATTCCAAACGCACAAAAAGGAGAAGTTGACAAGCAAATTAGTAAAATGTTAAATGACGGAATTATAGAACCAGCGAAAAGTCCTTGGAATGCACCGTTTCTTTTAGTTCCTAAACGGCAAGATAGCCAGGGCTCAAAACGTTATCGTATCGTTTTCGATTTCCGAAAGTTAAATACTAAGCTTACAGACGAGAAATTCCCATTACCGAATTTGACAGAGATTTTTGATTCATTGTTCGGCGCGAAACTATTTTCACATTTAGACATGGCGCAAGGCTACCATCAAATTGAGTTAACTTCAGAATGTCGACCTTGTACAGCATTTAGCACCGATAAGGGTCAATTTCAGCATACGAGATTGCCAATGGGGACGAAAGTTTCACCATCGGTTTTCGCTCGGACAATTGCCATTGCTTTGTCTGGTTTGCAATACGAATCTTGTTTAGTTTATTTAGACGATATAATAGTTTTTGGAAATAATTTAATTACACATAATAGGAATTTAATTAAGGTTTTAGATAGATTGCGTAAGGTAAATTTAAAATTAAACCCGGAGAAGTGCGACTTTTTACGCCAAGAAATAGTTTATCTGGGGCATGTCGTCTCAGGCAGCGGCATCGCTCCGTGCCCAGGAAAAATTGACAAACTAATGAACTACCCTGTACCAAAAGATGCACAATCAGCAAAAAGATTTGTGGCTCTTGCAAATTATTATAGGTCTTTTATTCCCAACTTTTCAGAAATTGTAAATCCGTTACACAAATTATCGAGAAAAAATGCTATTTTTAACTGGTCCAAAGAATGTCAAAAAGCGTTCGAGATTTTGAAAGATAAATTGTGCGATTATCCAATATTACAATATCCTGATTTTTCAGAAAACAATAAGTTTATTTTGAAGACCGACGCATCGAAATATGCGTTAGGTGCTGTATTATGTAATGGTAATAACCTCCCAGTAGCTTACGCAAGCAGGGCATTGAACAAGGCAGAGTTAAATTACTGTGTTATCGAGAAAGAATTACTGGCAATTACGTGGGCAGTCAAACATTTCAGACCTTATATTTTAGGAAGAAAATTCGAAATTCAGACCGACCACAAACCCTTAATTTATCTTTTTGGTATGAAAAATCCGAGTAGCCGACTTACGAAATTTCGGTTAACTTTAGAGGAATACGACTTCAATGTAGTACACATTAGCGGCAAAAGTAACGTCACCGCAGATGCTCTCTCACGTATAATTTTGACGTCAGAAGAGTTACGTTCGATTGGTAACCAAAATAATAATTTACATGTACTCACTCGCGCTCAATCTCGATTGAACTTGAGTGATGTCAGGGATAAGGATACCGCATCAGCTAAGGTCCGGGAGACTGATCAACTCACGGTCCGACAGTTGTTAAAGCGGCCTAATAATGC